CTTTGAGGTCATCATATATGTTGTAGCTCCTTTCAGACACTGTCCCCAAAATGCACACGGCGTATATTTTGTTGTGGGTTGCCACCACGTTGTCAAGTATATTCAACACAACTTAACGCCGTTGCATGATAACCGGACGTCCTTTGGGAAAACTGCAAATATAACATGAGCAACATACACATATATTCCTAAAAAAAACCCTGAGTTTAAAACATTTTTTTTTCTTAAAAAAGTTCGCTTCAGGAAAAAATTTTTTCAGGAGTTCAAAAATTTCGCTGAGAGCAACATCTTCTTCTTGAAGTTTGAGGACAAAATATACATAAACAAGTTAAAAAGTATCAGTCGGATTTGCCGACAGATTAATACCCTCAGCCTAGGTCTACATTATTAAAATATGTTAAGACTTGTGTTCTGTGGTTTTTCAATATATCGAACCATTATAGAGGGATATCCAGAAGATCAATATTGTTCATTTCGCATGTGACCTAATATAAAGGAATTCCAACATTTAATATGTTAAATATGGAAAATGTTGAACTTTTGTGGGGAAGGAAGAAATAGCAGACAGATGTCTCTAAGAAAATTGTAGACTTCTTTCGCATGCGAGTTATATATATTCAGAATGTTCATACTTTATGAGGGAAGTACCAGAAGGAGTAAGCAGACGTTTTGCATTTAATGAGACTCAGAAGGAGTGGGCTCAGATATATTGAAACATAATATGTTTGAAGGGCATCGCTGACTCGTTGCGCATGTTTAAGAGGTTATATTTATTAAATATTTTGAACTTATGTGAGGAAGGTACTAGAAAGAGTAGTCCGCTATTTTCGATATTCCCATCAGGTATTTTGTGTAAATGTATAGAAAAAAAAATCGGATTATTATATATTATTCAAAATGTTTGCCTTTGTGGGGGAGGTACCAGAAGGAGTGGTCCGCTATATTCCATTTTTACACAAGATGTTACAATGGTAGAACTATTTGTAAATAATCGGATGATTAAATTTTGATCATTTTTTGTGGAGGGGAGGTGCTTACCAAAAGAAGTGGTTCGCCATAGTCCACTAGATTTTATAATGGTAAAAATATTGGTATGTGTGATATTTGATGAAAATGAAAATTAGTTATTCCAAATTTTGACCCTTTGTGGGGGAGGTACCAGAAGGAGTGTCTCGCTATACTCCATCTTTACACCAGACTTTGTAATGGTAAAAATATTGATACGTGTGAAATTTGATGAGAATCCGATATACATTTCGCATTCTATGAGCGTTTAGTTATTCCAAATTTTGACCCTTTGTGGGGGAGGTACCAGAAGGAGTGCTCCGCTATAATCCATTTTTACCCCAGACTTTGTAATGGCAAAAAAATTGGTATGTGAAAATTGGTGTGTGAAATTTGATGAGAATCTGATGTATTTTTCGTATTTTTGAATGTCTTAGTTATTGCAAATTTTGACCCTTTGTGGGGGATGTACTAGAAGGAGTGGCTTGCTATACTCCATATTTACACCAGACTTTGTAATGGTAAAAATATTGATATGTATGAAATTTGTTGAGAGTCCGATGTATATTTCGCATTCTATGAGCATTTTAATTGTTTCAAATTTGGGCCCTTTGTGGGGGAGGTACTAGAAGGAGTAGTTCAATCTTGTCCATTCTCGCACCTAATCTTGGGGTAATGCAAATATTACGATTTGCAAAGTTTGAAGAAAATCAAATAATCCGTTATCTTTATATGCGGTGAACTATTTTCAATGAAATTTTTGAACATTTGTGGGGGAGGTACCAGAAGGAGTGGACCGATATTCCCCATCTCCGAACTCGATCTAAGTTTGACAAAAATATTACGATGCACCAAGTTTGGACCAAATCGGATACTCCCTTCGAGAGTTATCGTGCCCACCAGCCAGCCAGACAGACGGACATCGCTAGATCGACTCCAAATGTCCTGAAACGGATTTGGTCCAAAGAGACCTAGGGTCTAAAACCGTTATTTCAACTAGGCACGTTTTGACCGTATCAAATGATATATACCCTCTTTAGCCATATGACTGAGGGTATAAAAATGTACGTTTGAGGAAAACATATTAACAGAAGTAAGCAAAGGCTATAGGAAGACGGGGCCTACCACGTCATACCATGCACCATTACTTCCGTACATTGACGATTAAAAAACTATAAACATAAATAAATGAATGCATTAGACTGTAAATCTATCATCGATATTTGGCATCCATTTATAAGCCAAAAGTTCCTTTTCCAAATATAACTCACAAATTGTATCCCCTGAAAACAAGAAAGAAAAGGGTCAGTCGGCTAAACGACTGGGATATACCCTCAGCATTAGTCTGAAAAATGACTAATATAACGACCATAAGCAAAAAAGTTAAAATACTCATAAAAAGCGGTCCCGTTAAAGGATCAAATACTAAAATATGGACCTACGTCCATAATATTTTAATGACATTTTTGTTGACTCCTTAGCATATCAGAGTCCAAATACGGCTTAGTAAGTCGAAAAGCGTTGGTTAACACATGAAAATACTTAAAATAGGGAGGTATCTTAAATTGGGAGCTTTACAAAAATCAAGGCCTATATGAACATTTTTTTCTAGAGATGTTTATTGTCCTCTAAAAACCTAGGATGTATATTTACTTGTTACTAGGTCAGCAAAATGTTGCAAAAACTTCTAAATATATAAAATAGGGCGACACCTAAAATGGGGGCCAATTCAATTATGGACCTAAGTCCATACTTTTTAACGGAAGCGTGTTTAGTCCATTGGGAACCCTAATGGTCAAAATAGAACAGTTTTCGTTGACATATGAATCAAAAATCCTAAAAATCGGGCGGTATCGTTGTGTGGGGTCAAAATAGAACTGTTTTCATCGAAAAATGAAGCTAAAATCTCTAAAATACTGAAAATAGGGCAGTATTGTTGTGTGGAGGATATGTCAAAACGTGGACCGATATTGGGCATTTTCAAACTTAAACTAAGTTTGGACAAAAAACTACCGTGCACCAAATTCGGGCCAGATCGGGCAGACACACGGACGGATATGGCTAAATCGAATCCAAATTGCCTGAAACGGATTTCGTCTTAGCATATGTGGTGTCTAAAACCATTATTTCGAGTAGGCACATTCTCATCGTATCAGGGTTTATACGATATACCTTCTGTAGGCAAAATGATGACATAGACTTATATATAGTTTAGTGAAAGAGTTGCAATGGTAGAAATTGGTGTCCTGATCACAGGAAAGGCTACCCGGGTATTTGACACAAAAGTTCGGGTTAAAAAACCAGTTTTCCGGAACTGATTACTTCAATATGGGTATCGTTGGAAAGCTTATGAAAATAACTTGTGAACAAGAAGTAAAATGTGGCCAAAGGTCGACCACCTGAAAAAAAGGGTGTTGGGTATGAAAATCAAGTTTGAAGACAACATATTCTTTAAAAATCGATATTTCAGGAAAACATATTCCTTAAATATCCACTCCACTTTAAATGTCAAATTACAGCCCATTTTGTGGTTAAATGTGCTCACAGACTGTAAGATACTTAAGATTTTTTTGGGCGCGTTATGAACTATTCAAAATATTGGACTAATAGATTGCAAAATGCAAATATGCACACATACACTTTGGCGCGCTTTCTGGGGTCTATGGCAAATTTTGGACCTATGTCCACAAGTTTTGACTGGAATGTTGTAGACTCATGAAACCTTAACTATTTAACTTACCCATGTCGAATTGTGCTCCCCCCAAATGTAAAAATTAGCATTTCTAACTTCGTCGCTTTTTAAGACGTATGGGGGGCTACACCAAAATTTGGACATATGTTGCTAAGTAGACCCCTTTAATGCAAAATTAGAGTCCACGCGACAATAATAAACGGGCATGTAGACCCAAGAAACCTTGAATTTCAAATAACAGACAATCTTCTTTAATTAGAAGGCTACTAATACTTTGTTCTTCTGCAAAAAAGACGACTTACGTTTTCCTCTCTATATAATACGATTAAACTTTTTCTTCTGTATATAATATGACTTTTGTTGTCGTCTTCTGTAATGAAGACTGTCTACGTTTTTTCTTCGTTATAGAAGGGGCCTAAGTAAAAATTTTCTAACCTGCCTTGATTTTAGTGTCTACTTTCTTATCGTTATGACAAACATCTCCGCCAATGATGTTTTACTCCCTGTCCTTTGATTTACTATGTTTTCTGTGGTAGAGAAATATTAAGCATGAAAATTGGGATCCAAAAAATCATTTTTCTGAAGAACTTAGGAATTACTGTCAATTCAATGTTCTTCAACCTTCTCATGAAATTATTATTAGGATAATAATTTAGGATTAGGATAATCAAATGAATTTTGATCCGCGTGAAGAAAAGTAGTGTAGGTTATCAGTAGACAACGGAATTTTATTTTTATTATGAATTAGGCTCAAGTTTTGGGACGGAGCATTTTTTGATTCTAAGTAAATTGTTATAGAAACTGATTGTACAGTAAGAAATTCCAAACTTTTATATATTTTTTGCTGGGAAAAATACTTAAAAAATCAACACTTAAAGGTAACAAAATAAAAGTTCTCAAATATACAGTAGACTCTCACAATTTCTAATGATGGATTTTGCTCTATTTATCAGTTCCTGAATAATAAAATATGTGAAAATCAACTGTATATATTGTAATTGTCAGTTGTTCATATAAACACTATGTTTATTGCAAACATAAATTTAAACAAATTAATTTAATTTAAAAGAAACGTGTAAAATTTATATGATGATTTATATAAAGTGTTTTCTTTCGATATTATTAAATATTTTATATATTTATAATACAGTTAGAGTTATAGTGCAAATTTATTACAATCTTAATTTTAAATAAACATTTGAAGTTTTTATATTCGTGTATATAAATAAAGCGGTTTGTATTAAATTATATGACTTTTTTTTATATAAGTATACATTTATAATTATATTATAATGTGTATAATAATTTACTACAAGACCTAATGGAAAAATTGTTGGTCACATATTTTGTATCTACAATATGAAATTAATACAAGATTTAGTGCACATTGTGCATATATTAATTTAACAACATTGCATTGTAAAATAACTACCCGAAAAGGGTTTTGGAAAATTATTGTTGAAGAGATTGCTGTAATGAAAGAAAAATTTCATCATTAATATCTTTATTAAAATCATTAATATCATCATTAATATCAACCTTAATTTTTTTTGCCTTTTTTCCTTTTGTTGTCTATAAACGTTTTTACTTGTGCTGGGGTTCTGCAGCATAGCACTTCATTTTCAGACACGACCCTCATGCACTCCTTGAGAGATGGCAACTTTTCCATTGAAGAAATATCCCCAAATTCAGCAGTCAAAGCTTCTTGCTCATCGATTGTCCACCGGCATTTTTTTGTTTTTCCGCAAGAAGTATCTGTAAAAATTACACAATAATCATTTCATAAGCCTAAAACAGATGTAACAAACATCCTATTTAATAATGTCAAATGAAAATGAATGCGAACAAAAGATTAAAGTCGTTTAAGAATATAACAGTTTTATCTTTCTTCATTAGCATTCATTTTTTTCGGCATAGCACAGTGAAAATTGCACACGAAAAACCTGATCAAAACCAAATGCAATATAAATTATGCAAACAAATATGTACTCCAAATTTATTTTTGATTAGAAAATCTAATATAAAAATATTTAAAACAAGTAATGTACTCTGTTCATATATATTGGAAACAACTAACCGATTTAAAATATAATAGAAAAAATAGTTTGTATTGGCCTTGTTCCAGAACCTGCAAGAATCTACTAGTTTTGCAATTTTTTCCGATATCGTAAAGAGGAAATCGGTTAAGGTAGTAAAAACTTTAACATTCCTGCATTTCTGGAACAGACCAATTATTATTGCATTTGTGATTAATCTGTAAAATGTCAAATCGGCCATGATATCAAATCTTTACTGGATTATAAATAAGGCAATTTGGGGAGTTTGAAAGTGCCGGTAGCATAATCTAAAAAAATATTTGTACTGTTTAAATAATTTTGTGAGTGGACCAAAAAGGCCACATTAATACTCAGTAGGAGGGTTAAGTGAAATGAAATATAAAATCAGGAATACAAAAAAAAAATTAAAGCTAGATCATAATGCATTTGATTTTGGTCATGGTTTTCGGTAAATTAACCACTGTGTATTTTGAAACATAAGTCTACGCAAGCTTAGTTATAGTTTCTACTCAATATACTTACTATCAAGTTTCTTATTGTAGGTACTACTAGTCTTCCTTCTTATTATACTTACTACTAATTTTCTTTTTTACCAAATTTGCGCCATATGTAATATTATCTGATTCATCAGATGATGACTCAGATTCGGAAGATATGTTTCCACGAAGATTATCAAAACTATTATTTTCGGAGTTTTCCTCATTCCTACAACCAGCAGCTGACAGCAAAATCTTGGACACTGTAGTGATTTCCGCCATTGGTACCGATACTCTATAAATACTTTTGTGTATATCCTTATGGTGCCCAAGAAAATTTGCTAGCTTATCCACTGTGGCTTCTTCAACGTTTAGCAAAGCTGTATACGTTGCTATATGCTTCCTTAATTTAGTTCCTCTTAATGTGTGAGGAATAGTAGCCCCACACTCTAAGGCAAACTTGCGTAATAACGGGCAAGCTCTTATATATTTTTTTGATATTCCTGATGATCCGGGAGCCGAGAAAATATAGTGATTTGATTTCGGGATTCCGGCACTGTTGCGATGCTTTAATATAAGGTCAACTGCCTTTCTACTTAAAGGATCCAGCAATATGCTGACAGTACGTCCTAATTTGCCTCTTAGGGTAATTCTTACATACTGTTTAGCGAATTCAAAAGATTGGTTAGAAATATTATCAATAAATCCAGCTTCTATATTGTCAGTAATAGTTTCCTTCTTATTGTAGTTTTCAATAGTTATTCTCTCGATCTCACCGGCTCGTCGTCGATTGAACACTTGTAGACATATTAGAGTAGTTTCCAAAAGATTTTTCCAATCATCAAAGATAAATTGTTTAGTTAATGTAGCTATAGAATATACCATTTTGGTTCTTAGAAAATCATAAAGTTGTTTGATATCTTTTTTGTTTGGCAAATCTTCCTTCTTAGATCTTTTTTTGTTTTCTCTATCTTCAATAGCTGTTTTATTTATTTGAGTGGGAGTCTCTTCAACCCACAATGAAACAAAATTGTCCAAAAGGTCTTTCATATCAATATTTTGATTTTTTATGAACTCATTCTTTTGTATGTTCGCACATTTTTTTATCAAACCAGATAAGTTGGTGGCAACTGCTGGAGTAGAAAACCCCCGACCAAACTCCCACTTTGCAGTTTTGCGTAATGCTTCAATTGTCATATCAAACAAATGTGGCTTAAAAATTTCCTTCAACTCCTTTATTTCAGGATGTAATTTTATGCACTCAATTTTGAATCGACCCAAGAGTCTCATGTTCGCTCGGATTTGATCATGGTGGTGAATATCAGGTAACTTTTCGGATAACCTGTTGCCGTATCTAATTATTAGTTCGTCATACCGAATGGCCTGTGTAATTTCATCGTTTCGTAGAACGGGAAAAATCGCTGTTTTCATTTCTGTGTTTGCCAATTCGTGTACGTATTGAGTGATTTTCCTACCTTCAATGAAATTGTTCCGTTTATTTTTTTTATTAGAGCATTTACTAATATGAGTTCTTGCCGAAGTGATGCTATAATACCCTTTACAGTGGACGCAGCATACGTAGTGGTCTGCTTTATGGTATGCTTCTGATTGTTGTCGTCTTGTAACGATAAGTGAACCTGTATTTTTATCATTATGTATATTATGTATAAAATCTCCTTCTTTTCGGAGCTTATCAAATATTTCTCTGCGTTTTCGGTTTCCTTTTGATAAGGCCATTGCCATTTTAACCATATTCTCCTTTTTGTGCCTCAAACAAAAGTGTCGAGCAATCTTACATTGTAAGGTTTTGCAGAACACACAGAAATGTTGCTTTGATTTTTGCTTCGAAAATGGTACTGTCAAAACATCGACTTTTACTGGTTTAGGTATAACCTCTATGAAGGAGCTCACATTTGTGCTATTGTTGTTGTTGCTAGAATCGGGGGGTAGAAATTCTGACGTAGAGTTTCCTGGCAAAGTTTCGATTGTAGAATTTATTGTGCTTATATCCGTAAAACCTACACAGTCACTGGTTTCTTGTGGTTCAATTGCCGTTGAGTTTTTGAAGTGGAATTGATCTGTAGTCCGCATTTCAGGGGACTTTCTATTAGATATTACTCTCCATGACGATTCTTCTAATCTGTCCAATGCCAATAGCGGCGACCTAATTCCGCTAGTTGATCCTGTTTCCTGTAGTTTTTGTGGTTTTTTTACGGATGTGTAACCAGAAACGTTGTGTATTACCATACCATTTGAGTCAGGTGGTAGACAATCGGACGAAAAGTCTTCTGATTGAGTTTCAATTGTAGAATTTATTTTGCTTGCATCCGTGGTATACAAAGTATTATTGGTTACTTTGGGTTCAATTGTGGTCGAGTTTTTTATACAGCTAAGGTCAATATTCTGCATTTCTATATATTCTTCAGGATAATTTCTATTAGATATAGTGCACAAAGACGATTCTTTTAATATGTCAGCTGATGACAATGGCTGCGACTTTTCTATTCCTTGTTCTTTTCGTGGGGTTTCTTCAGATAACCCCAAAGAATTAATTGCTACAGTTTCCCAAACTTCGTTTTCTGGTTCATCAGTTGTTGACCTCTCCCATTCAGTGCATATTTCCACAGTAAAACCTTGAATATATGCTTTAGATGGACAATTTAAGTCCATTGATTTTTCTAATAGCTCTGTTGATGAACAAATTTCTGATGGATCTGAATTATTTTTTGATTTTTCTTCCGATTTACTATTTTTGATGTCCGGCGGTAAAATTGCATTTTCTTTTATTTGCTTTTGTTTAAAAAGTTGTAATTTGTCATCTACAAAAATATACTATGTTAAAACTTTCCCCAAATATATATTTCTATATTTGAAATCAAATTTGATTCCAAAAAAACAATGCTAGGACTAATTAATAACTTCATCATCACCATGATTTTTCAATAAACAGTAATTATATCTATTATAAAAATTATATAGCTATTTTTGTTAACTTACCGCTAGTCGAAATTAATTTAGCTGCATATTTTCCGCCTTTACATTTCACCACACACGTACCTCCTTGGATTTGTGTTATAGATTTGGAATTTACGACACAAAATTCTGAATCGTCATATGTGATCAAGGAGAATTTAAATAATCTATAATAAAAAAATATTTAGTGTCAATTATTTTTGATAGATATTTTTAGTTTTATTTTTAAAACTTTTCTTTCTTCTCCCATAAACTTATGGTTTTTTAGGCTAAGTATGCTTACCTTGATAAATCAAATTGTCCTCTTGATATAGTTTCAAAAGATGAAAAATCTGTCGTATTATTCTCTTCCGAATCCGATGCGTTATTTTCACCATGTATAGTGACTGAAGATATAGGCTCTTTATCTGATCTGTTTGATCCTAGTGGAGGTAGATTTTTTATATACTCTTTCATGTATAACATTGTCGACGGTGAAATATTTTGATAAGCACGACCACGGCTCGCAGGAATTCTTGGTGCTATTTGTGTTTCTTGATTCTCCGCGTTTATTGTCCCCATTAAATTCTCACTTTGTTTCTTCTCTTCAAGATTTTCTTTATTATCTATGAAAATTAATGTATTAATATTTTAGTCCTGGTAACGTTCTAATATAAAATCTAACTCTAATGTATTCTACGGAACTCTACAAAACTCCGACGGATATAATCTTGAGTTTTACTTAATTCGGTTAGTAAGTAAAACATTTTCCTTTGACGCTTTTTAGACTTTTACAGTCATATTGTTTCTTGTGTTTAATTATGAAAAAATGGCGCCTGTGATGCTTTAAGTTTATTTTTATTTATTTTTTGGACAAAGTAGCACGATCTAAATGATCGTTTTTCTATTTTGTGACCAAATTTGTTCCAGAAATTTTACAAATATTTTTGGAAATAAAATAAGACCAATATTTATAAAATTCCGACGCGGGTTTGAAAATTATATTATTTCTTATTCACCTGCTGTGATTTTTTTCTTAAAAATCATTTTTGCATATTTTAGCAATCATTTTTCATACCCTTTGCATGCTGACAAGGACATGCGATGAAAAAAAGTTATTATCATGATTTCACAATATACAGGCATGTCATGGAAACTAATGTGTTGCATAGACACATAATTTATATTCTTATTTAAAAAAAAACGGCTTAGTTATTTGAATATGTTTTGTATATTAAATTGTATTAACTTACCGTCAGCTTTAATGAAAATTGCGGAGTACGAACAGCCTTTATACTTTACAATACAATTGTCGGAATTGTGATGCTTCACGTCTTTTGTTTTGACAACATAGAAGTCACCGTCATTGTCAAACTTTACTAGGGAAAACATGTTGAACTAAAAAAAACTTTCAACGAAATTTTAAAAAATTAACTAATAAAATAAAAGTTTTAAGTTTTGTTTTATTATTATTTTACATCTATTGAAGAATACGTAAAATTAAAGTAAAAAAAAATTGGGACTAATAATTATTATAGATTCATTTTCAAATACGCGTCTTCAATCTTTTCTTCCTTTACAAAAAATAATTTAACGATAAAATATGCTAAGCAGAGCTTAAACATACTCTGTGTTTCTTGCACGAATTCGATCGGAAAGCGAAACTGGAGTAATCGCTCTCACTTTTTGACCGCTTCCTCGAGCGAGTTATAATCGCTCGCAAGCAAATCGGAACTCTGAATTAAGCAAAAGTAAAAAAATTCCGATTTGAATTCATTTTCACCCAATATGGCTAAGTCCATATACTTTTGGGTCCACTGTTGTCCCATTTGGAGGTGTGAGATTTCTGAATTCGCCATCAAAATTGGGATTAGACCACCCAATCTATTATTCCCTAAATATATTCCAACGTCAGAAAAAAATGCGATTTGTAGTCACCCAATATGGCTAAGTCCATATACTTTCGGATTTTCAACACTACTCCTTCATTTACTATTAAATTATACCTTATATAGTACTTTTCCAACAGTAATGATACCCTTTTTTCAAAACATTTCCATATATCCATCTAACACAACATTTCGATTTGCATCTCTACCATATTCAGTACTTTTGCAACTCTTATGATACTCCTTTTCCAAAAGATCTCTACCTTTCCACCCTAACACAAAATTACGAATTTCCACCTCTACTCATTATATTTACGTTCGAATTGTACATTATTAAGTACTTTTTTGTCAATTATGGTACTCGCTTTTTAAAAATCTCCATATATCCACCCACCTTTCTCTACTCAACAATTATATCCTATTTAGAAGTATTCCAACACTTATTGCTCTTTTTCCAAAACTTCTTTATATAACTATAGAGAGCTTTCCATTATTGATTCTCATACCAAATTCGACGATTCTAGATCCATTCATTCATAACATACGAATAGTAACATTTAAAGTACATATTAGAAGTTTTCGTACCCTTTTGGTACAAATTTCCAAAAACGATTTGTCACATCTATCCTACACACCATCGGTGACGCTGAATCCAAATTGCAGAGCTGTAGCCGAACTTTTAATACCCTCCATCATTTAGAAGGAATTTGAAATTTTAAAAAATCCGTCGAAAAATAAAGCTAAAATGAAAAAATACTGAATATCGGGAGATACCGTTATATGGGGGCTAAGCGAAGATGTGGACCTGCATAGATAGGTTGTAGTACCCATTGCGAAAATTAAATACGAAATTTGAAACAATTCCGGTGAAAAATGTCGCTAAAATCATCAAAATACCGAATATCGGGAGGTACCGTTATATGGGGGCTATCCGAAGATGTGGATCTGCGTAGATATTTTACTGGCATAGGTTGTAGTACCCATTGCGAATATTAAATGCGAAATTTGAAACAATTCCGGTGAAAAATGTCGCTAAAATCACCAAAATACCGAACATCGGGAGGTACCGTTATATGGGGGCTATCCGAAGATGTGGACCTACATAGACCATTTTCTGTCATAGGTTGTAGTACCCATTGCGAAAATTAAATACGAAATTTGAAACAATTCCGGTGAAAAATGTCGCTAAAATCATCAAAATACCGAATATCGGGAGGTACCGTTATATGGGGGCTATCCGAAGATGTGGATCTGCGTAGATATTTTACTGGCATAGGTTGTAGTACCCATTGCGAATATTAAATGCGAAATTTGAAACAATTCCGGTGAAAAATGTCACTAAAATCACCAAAATACCGAACATCGGGAGGTACCGTTATATGGGGGCTATCCGAAGATGTGGACCTACATAGGCCATTTTCTGTCATAGGTTGTAGTACCCATTGCGAAAATTAAATACGAAATTTGAAACAATTCCGGTGAAAAATGTCGCTAAAATCATCAAAATACCGAATATCGGGAGGTACCGTTATATAGGGGCTATCCGAAGATGTGGATCTGCGTAGATATTTTACTGGCATAGGTTGTAGTACCCATTGCGAAAATTAAATACGAAATTTGAAACAATTCTGGTGAAAAATGTTGCTAAAATCATCAAAATACCGAATATCGGGAGGTACCGTTATATGGGGGCTATACGAAGACGTCGACCTATATGGCCCATTTTCAATACCAAAAGTCCTGCACACATTATATACATCTGAGCAAAATTTCATCAACCTATGTCATTTCGTTCGGAAG